TCATCATGTATATTGTACCACAGACATAAGAACATTGCTGATTGTGTCCCCACAATTCAAATGCTACTTGACAGATAGTTACTTAGCATAAAATCATGCTGTGATTTCCTTAAAAATTATTCCTCAAATGTCTCTTGTTCCAAAGCCCATATTTTTATTCATTTATTTTAATGATTTCCACCAAGGCTGGAAGCGACCCCCAAATTCAGAGTTGTCAAGCAGATCTAACAGGTTGCCTTCTTGTCTGACGGACCCCAGCACGGCATCCACAGTTCAAGCTAACTGAGAAGAAGCCTGCACAGCTGGAAACCACCTTACTTTCCTCTCTATGACACCTACTTTCGGTCACCTGGCCTGTCTAGTGATCTTGCTGGGTAGATTAGCTGGGCTGTTGTGCAATTTCTTCATTATCAGCCACCATCCAATCCTGTTAGCACACTGGCCCTGTCAATTATTGCATTTTTTTTTTCTGTCTCTGCCTAGCATTATGTCTCTCTTTTTACATCCTGGTGGGTAAGTGCTGGGACTCCTCAACCTCCTGACTTCAAAAGAACTATATTGACCTGCTAGCTTCGATCTCCTAATTTTACAGAACATCTAAATGAGTCTAAGAAGACTTAAGCTGCCCAGCATTGAAATACCCACTTAGCTTTGGAAAAAGAATTTTGAACTCAGGTCTTTAAGCTCATATTCCTTGTCTTGCTAGGATTTGAAATCTTTGGTGGTTTCATCTATTTATGCATTTATTAATATAGGGGCAGCTTAGAACAGTATCCAGGAGGATGGGCTATGGAATCAGACTGCCTAGATTCTAACTCGCCTGCTATGTACTAATTTGTGAACCATGAGCATGTCATTTAACTTCTCCATTCCTCCGTTTCATCTGTAAAATGGGTGTAATAATAGCACTTCCTTCACAGAGCAGTAGTACAGGTACAGAACATATAAAATTATGAGGAACAAAGTAAGTTTTCAATAAAAGTTTGCTACTATCATTCAATGACTAATTCACTCAAACTTAACAATTATGTATTTGGTACCTACCACATGCTAGGTAATATTGTAGATGCCAGGAACACAAGAGGTGACAAAAGAGGCATCATTGCGACTCTCATAGCCCCTCTTCACTCCACCACTCCACTCAGAAAACAGTAACAAATAATCATACAAATACATCTATGATATAAATGATTACTATTGTTATTAATAAAACCTAAAGAGTTTGAAGTTGGGCGGGGGGAAGCTGGCAAGGCTCAGGCAGAGGTAGATAATGCAGGCCCAGTTAAGTTCATGAATGTCATATTAAAAATCCTAGACTTTAAGATGTACTCTCTTAGCGGGCCTCCCCCATAGCTTAGTGGTTAAGTGCGCGCGCTCCGCTACTGGCGGCCAGGGGTTTGGATCCCGGGCGCACACGGACGTACCGCTTCTCCGGCCATGCTGAGGCTGTGTCCCACATACAGCAACTAGAAGGATGTGCAACTATGACATACAACTATCTACTGGGGCTTTGAGGAATAAAAAGGAGGAGGATTGGCAATAGATGTTAGCTCAGAGCCAGTCTTCCTCAGCAAAAAGAGGAGGATTAGCATGGATGTTAGCTCAGGGCTGATCTTCCTCCAAAAAAAAAAAAAAAGGATATACTCTCTTAGCAACTTTAAAATATACACTACAGTATTGTTAACTACAGCCACCATGCTGTATATTATATCTCCAGTGTGCAATGAGAAGGCTTTACATTTTTCATTACATATGTTTCTACTACAATGTGATATGTGAGTTCCTGAAAGCTTTGCATTCTACAGAATTCATATTAAAATAATAGCATTCATGGAAAAAAATAAGATTGTGTGCAGATCCTCAAAACCTGTGCAGTTACGCCTAGCAATCATCATCCTAGTCTAAATATTAGCAAAAATAAAGTACTAATAAATACATATTCCTATAAATATAAAATTCTATTTTAAGAAAAGAGGAGAAAGTAATTTAATGACAGAGATATAAGTAAGGATCAGCCTACTTAGAGAAAGAGAAAGAGGGAAATGCACAAAAAAGTGGCAGAACACAGCATGCTAAGATAGAAAGTGTGTCCAAAGGGAGCCAAAAGGGAAGAACAGAATGTGGACATGAGGGAAATGGGGATCATGTTCCACGTTGTTCTCCTCTGTGGCTCCAGGTAACTTCAGCCTTATTACAATATTTTACGTTTAGCTGCTGGTTTTGGTGATGTGAATCTTTAATGTCCTGGGGAATTGGCATATGAAACAACAGACTTTCCATGTCATATTCATGTTCTTCTCAACTTGCCAATCATTTATGAGCTAATCCCCTCACATTACAGACACACATTCTAGTATAACAGAGGGAAATGACAGTAGATTAGAATTTCTAGAAGATTCCTCTAGTAAGGGATCAAAACTCAAATTTTAGACACCTTTGACTTCAAAGAAGAAAGCGTAGCTAGAAGCAGACTTCTAGCTAGTAGACTATCTAGCTACTCTAAATAAAAAGATAGTTATTTAGAGAAAAGACCTTAGGTGTCAATGCTCTCTAAAATCTGAGTTTTGATACCTCACAGCTCCAAAAAAGTAGAGAAACATGTTATGGAAAAAGAAGGCAAAAATACAACCTAACTACGTATAATAGCCTAGGTTTGAGAAGTCGTTTCCTGCCTTCCATCTTTTCTACTCATGTTTACCTCCCCATCTGTTCTGTATATGACTGGGCTAGGATTGACATGAGGATGAGAAAAAACATGGGCGAAATGGAAAATTCAAGAAATTAAAACACTTTAGATGTTGATATTAGCAATTTGAAACCTGAAAATAAATGAGGAAAATATGCCCACTGTTTATACAAGCTGATTGAAAATAGATGCAAATAATCTCCCACTTTCTAAATGTATTATCACACAAACATGATACAGTTCATGTTAGATATTTGATTTTGAATGTTAAAAATAAATTGCTTGAGTAGAAGTCACAGCTGTGATTAAAACTCTATTGTTTAAATCAGTGTTTTTCAATAGAAAATAATGCAAGCCACAAATGTGAACTGCATATATAATTTTAAATTTCCAGTAAACACATTACAAAAGTAAAAAGAAATAGAGGAAATGAATTTTAATCGTTTATATTTATTTAACTTAATATATTCAAAATATTCTCATGTCAACTAGTAATAAATACAGACATTAATAATGAGATAATTTACGTTCTTATTTTTTTATACTAATTCTTTGAAATTTGGTCTATAATTTAAAACTAGAGCACATCTCAATCTCAAATTGCCAGATTTCAACTAAATGGCCACATATGGCTAGTGAGTACCATATTGAACAATGTAGGTCTAAGTTAACTTTTTATGAACATTATTTTGCCAGAATGAAAAGATGCAATGAAATATATACTTAGGTTTTTGTCAGTATCCAGACAATAGAAAAAAGGTCATATCATGTTCTATTTCTATTTTTGGAGTGTCCTTATAGAACACTTTCCGATTATAAGTTTTGAATATTCCCCATCTCATATCTTAAGCATGGTGAATGGCTCCCGTGTTAAATGTTTAAAGTTGAATATTTGTGAAGAATGCATTGCACTTTTTATTATATTATACACATTGAATAAGCATTGAACTGAACTGTAGCCGACAGGTTGACAAAATGGCATGTTTTATAGATGTTTAATTAAACATATATTGATTTTGACTTTGGTGCTCTTGTTTTGGAAGCATTATATATAATTTCTGGCCTCCAACATTTTTGGCCCTTGGAAATTTCATAGGCTGTGGACACTGTGCCCCTAGTGCCAAATGCATAAAACCACCTGGCTCGAGCCACATTTTCCCCTGCCTGCTTACAGAATGTAGAATCGCTCCTATTTCTTTAGCTCTCAGGGCAATTTTCACCTATGGCAGGCTTGTGCTAACTTCAGTTTTACCATCAAGATATTCTGTTTGCTTTTTTTTCACAGCGTTGGTAAATTTGCTCTCATTTGTGTATTTATTTGATTTATTTAAATTTATTTTCTGTTTCTGATTTAAGAGGGAGAACAGGATTGTGTATTTTTTTAATCTACTGTATAATAAAGGATTTTGCACATTGTAGACACTCAATAAAGCTTAGATAAGTGAATGAAAAAAATGCTTGCTGTAAGGAAAAGTTTAAAGCTCATTTTATCTAAATACAGAGTAGAGGTTGTCCATCTTGTGGGGATCCAAGGTTGCTTTGAGCTGCACACCTTCTATAAAATAATTCCCATATATCTAAGCTAGAGAAGCATTTTTTTAAGTTAAAGCTTATAAAGCCATCTGACATTTTATCAATCATTTACATTTTAATAAGATGATTTACTTTTATATTTAGTAATTTATCTTGTTCTTTTCTGGATGGTCTGATTCTTCCTATTTTCTCACTTTGGGGAATTTTTTGTTTTTCTAAAAATTATTTTCTTTTTTCTTATTTTATAAATCTGTGGTTCTCAATCTTGGCCTATTTTGCTCCTCCCAGGGGATATCGGGCAATGTCTGGAGATATTTTTGGTTGTCACAACTGGTTGTGGGGGCGGATGCTACTGTCATCTATTAAGCAGAGGAAAGCAATGTCACTAAAAGTCATAAAATGCACGAGATAGCTCCCCAGTAACAAATAATTATCCAACCCAAAACGTCAAAACTGTGACATTGTGAAATCCTACTCTAACTTAGTTCACATTAAAAATAGTGTTCTGTGTTTTAGTCTTAAAATAATTACTAAATTAAAAAGTTGCTTCTGTTCATGATACACCTTTTTCTTCATTGTAGCTAATACTTTTTCAAGTCTGTGAAAAACAGTTTATCCAGGTTTACAGGTTGAATAGCAATGACCATTTACCAATATAATTCTTTTCAAGTCTTTCCTCTCTGCTTCTTTAAACGTTGGCAGATATAATGAGAGTTTTGATGACCATCATCATGTAATTCTATCAATTTAATGAATCTTTGTTAATTTGTTTTATAGGTCCCTTTAGATGGAATATAATACAGCAGAAGGCTTTTCATCAAAAGGATTAATGCCTGCATTATCATTTCTGCAATAGAATAGAAAGCTAAGTGGTGGAGGCCACAGACACGTCAAACCTGGATTCCACAATTCTGCATTAAGTGCTGGAGTTTTATTACTCTGCCGTAGGAAAGCCTTTGCCAATGCTTACAAGGAACTGTTTCTCCCTGCTTCTCTGGGTCCTGTTTGATGGAGGTCTCCTAACACCACTTCAACCACAGCCACAACAGACTTTAGCCACAGAACCAAGAGAAAATGTTATCCACCTGCCAGGGCGGCGATTACATTTCCAACGAGTTAAACGTGGCTGGGTATGGAATCAATTTTTTGTGCTGGAGGAATACATGGGCTCCGAGCCTCAGTATGTGGGAAAGGTAATGGCGTGTTTCTTTTGACAACCACTTGGTAGCAAGGGGGATTATGCATTGTGTATTGTGTATGGATGTTTTGCACAAGAGTTGAACAAACCAGTGACTAGAACACTGGAATTGAAATCCAAGAGACCTGGTTTCTCTTCCTGATTCAATGGCCCGGGTAAGCTTTGGAATATCATTTAACCCCCGTTTACTTCCATTCTCTCAGATTATTTTAATGAAAGTAATATATATTTTTGTTCCTATTTTTTATATTCTTTGCTTAAGAAGTGAAGTTAAAATACGTAAATGTCATTAAAAATGTTATTACAGCACATTATTGCTTACAGACACTCTGAAATTGTTTACCAATGACAGACATAGAAAAATATCACCTGTTAGTATCCTTGAATGACCAGAATGTCTCCCTTCCCTTCCACTTTAAAAATATGACATACCATTTGGATTTTGGTTCTGAAGTGTTTGACTTGGCTTGCTTATGCTTTATAAATAATTTCTTTATTATATGTTTGGCAAGCTAGTTATGAAGCTATTTATGGCCAAAGTAATAAATGTTGGAATCCAAATACATACACATCAATCTTTAACACAGCACACAATTTTTTAATCTTAGGGCAAGTTTATAGAAACTTAATTTTTTTTTCACAAAAATAGTTGATGGCAACTGTTCTCGCACATTTATGCTTTACTGCTAATTTCCTTACATAAAATTTTTGACCCATGTCTAGACTAGAGAGAACTTACCAATGACACAGAAAAAATATTTTTTTCCCAGAAAAATGAATATTTTATTTTATTTTGATTTTGTTAATTCTGTTTTTAAATTTTCTAAAAGATTTTGCCATGGTCTTAATAAAAACATATATGCTTGAAGAGATTTTAAAATAAATCCAAAGACAGAAATGGAATTAGGATCCTAACAGAGAAATATAGAAGTGTTAGGGGGCTAATATAGAAGATTATGTCTGTTGAACATTATAGTCCTCAGAGCTTTCTGGAAGCCTAAATGGGTGAAAAACATGATGAGTCTTATGATTCCAATTTTAGGTCAAGGGAAACAAATCCATTCAAGATCTAAATTCTTTGCGGTACATTTTTGGAATTTACCTTTTAGAAATGTATTTAAATAATATTAAATAATACAGTTTAGAAGGTCTTCAAATAGAACCTTTGTTAAAAATCAACGCATAACCAGGATTGCCCTAAGGTGTAAGAGACCGTAGGCATTTGGGGTCCCACAACACAAATTTTCTGTGGGACACCTATCTATATATAAAATTTGAGTCACAAAAAATCAGTCTTTGAGTACCATTCTGGCAGTTCTAATTTCTAATGATTTTGTAAAAATTATACAATGCCATTAAGCAGAAGCAATCTCTTTGACAGGCTGACTACTAGAAGTCAGATCCTGGTCATGTGGCCCTGAGACAACTCCATAGGTGCTAGTCCTGGAGCTCCACGGGTATCTGATGGGCCAAAAAATTGAGTAGAAAGTCGGAGAGAGCTTTAAAGAGGAGAAATGGCCCAAGTGGTTCTAGCCCAGGGCCCTCCACCCAGATAGTATTGCTGCCCACAAATAGCCCTGGGAACAAGAAGGGTCTTAGAAAATTTTGAGGAAAGCACTTCAAAGCATGGAAGTCCCCTGATGTTATTGTTCATTGCTTCTGCTTATATGGTTCCCCATATGATCATGGGATATAATAATCACTAAAACATTTCTATGGTGAGATCATTTCACGTTGTTCTGGTACACTTGATTCTTGTGAGTTAATTTAATGTAAGGATCAAGTTTTGAAATCCAAGACAAATGGAGAGGAATCATGGCTCTAAGACTCTACCTCATGGGTAACAGTTATCACAACTCTGCTTATAATGAAAACTAGACATCACGTTGAGGTACCTGGCAAATGTCCGATGAGAAGATATTGTCTGGTTTTGATTGAAGCTGATCCCTAGCCTTTTTTGCTTGAATTTGAGGTGAGAAAGTTGACATTTTGTTGAAAAATTAATGAAACTGACTAGAGAAGTAAGTAAAAAGGGTCTAGGAGTTACTTATGCAAGTTTTGTTTGATACTCCAGAATTCTACCTTTATAACTGTTCCAATAGTATGGAATTCATCCAATTCATTTAAAAGATGAGTTATTATTCATAAATAGATTAAAAAGGAGTAGTTCTAAGATCTAACCTATTATTAAATTAAACATTATTTTCATAGTCACATGGTTCCACATTTGTAATATGTAATGAAAACCCAAGGTTCTCAGGCAATGTATGTTTCTCGTCCAGATGAAACATTTGCCAATATTTCCTTTCGACATGGAAACTAATTAAAGTTTAATTAACTCTATATTGATGATTCTAGATGTGGGAATAGTAATACGATAACATTGGGACCAATTCAAGCCATTATATTTGTGTGTGTAAACATATATAAATGTATTTATTCTGCTGCTCTTTCCAGAAAAGCTTTGAGACAGTTTATAGAAAAGTAAAGTATTATAAATAACATAGAACTTGGGGCTAAAGAAAAGGGCAAATGTAAAAGTGCCAAGCACAATAGTAAACTGAACTATTATAATTGAGTGTTAAATTTAACTTTATGTTTCTTTGCAGCAAGAGCGTCTAAGGAAAACATTAATTTGAATGGTTCCCATTACTGGAAGCTCCACTTATTGAAAGGAAAAATCAACTTTCCTATCTTTAAATCTAAAAGAATCTCTTCATGTAGAAATTTATGGGGGGCGTGGTGTCACCTAAGTGGCTTAGTGGACATTAGCCTCAACAATTTTTATATTTAAAAGGAGCAGCTGTTAATATTGACATCATTTCAAGAAAGATCAAACTGTGGTATCGCTTATAATGAACATTATTTTATTTTATATACTAAGAAATCACAGAAGTGTCCAGAGGTAAGGCCAATGCTTTCTTCAAACAGTCATTTTGGACTTACTACAACGCCTGGATAAATGTAAGGTGCCATATTGCAGAGTAACACAGAAATTAATTTGATAGGCAAAAGTTTTCAATTCAGATATTATCAATTACTCAAAGTGACCACAAAAAACTGTTATTAAAGACATGCACACGTGTGCACGTACACACACACACGCAGTAAGTTGGATGCTGACACCAACATATATAACTGGATGCCTTTGTCTGTGTAGTACTAACTTATGTCATAGCCTCAAAGCTCTGTGTCAAGAACATGCTGCCCATTTTACCCTCAAAGAATAATTTAGGAAACTGAGTTGTCATTTCAGATGATCTTTGTTAGCAGCAATTCTTAAGTCTAAATTGTTTAAAATGGCAAAAAGATTAAACATTGAAACATATATAAACCCTAATTTCAGAGGCATTCATTTATTCAACATATTTTTGACTGAGAATGCATTACAATTTGAGAAAGTGTTGTGAGCATAAGTTTAAGTCTGATGGTCCCTAGATTACAATTATAATAGGTAAGCTTTATTGAGTGCTACTTTGAACGCTGTTTTAATTGCTTTACACACATAAACTAATGTAATCTTCACAACAGCACTATGAGGAAGATTATTAGTAATCTCATTTTACATATCAGAAAACTGAGGCACAGGAAAGTTAAGTAACTTCTCCATGGCCCCACCCAGTAAATGCGGAAACTAGGATTTTAAGACAGATAGTTTAAAACTCCATTGCACAAGAAAATATCATAGTTTATCTCATAAGGATCTTAAGAGTTAACAATAATTTCAATACTCTGTCAAAAGTACTATAACGGAGACCCTATAAGGGATGGTGGAAACAAAGGAAGGTCTATGACTTGTGTAGAAGATGGAGGAATTCAAGAAAAGTGTCACAGATGAGGAAGCACCCGAGATGAGTCTTGAAGGATGAATTTATCTTTTCAGAAGAGATAGTCTGAGGAAAAGTTTTTATAAGCACTGAGGCTTGAAAGTTTAAGGTGAGCCTAGATAACAGTATTTCAATATAATCAGAGAGTGTGAAGCCAGCTGTTTAAAATAGGTAACTACAGAATGTATGCAGAGACTCAAGTCTGATACCAAGATCAGTGTTATTCGTTCTTATTTTCTTACTTATTTACCTATTTATTTTTAATAGAAGTGTAATTGACATATAACATTATATTAGTTTCAGGTGTACAACATAATAATTCAATATTTATATATATTGCAAAATTATCACTGTAATAAGCATAGTAAACATCCATCACCATACATAGCTATAGTTTTTTTTTCTTGAGATGACTTTTAAGATTTACTCTCAGCAATTTTCAAATATGTAATACAGTATTATTAACAATAATCCCTATGCTGTACATTACACTATTATTTGTTCTTAAAGGTGTCAAGATCTACAAAATGTCTTGGTTGAAGATTCATATGGACAGAATTGCAGTTTTAGAATGATCACTCAGAGAGCCATTTAAAGTACTCTTTGGAGGCAGAGAAACAGGCATGGAGACAGACAGCGTATGTAGCAGAAGTTTACAGTAGGCTTGTCTAGAAAGTAATAAAGAAAATGGGGTATTAGAATTGAAGACGTGAAAGGTGGGGGCAAGATAATCAAAGATTTAAAGATCCATTTGTCATGGGAATATAAAAGATGAGACAAAAAAATTAGTGGATAGTTTTATGTAGAGAATGAAAGAGAGGGAGAAATAAAAAAAAAACGCCACAGATGTCTGACTTCAGTTATACTAGTAGCTTGTATGGGTTTTGTTTTAGGGTAAGAAATAAAATGATCACTGTTAGACATTATATATCTACATAGGTACTTAGAAGTATGCAGGTGAAGTATCTCATAGATATTTGGATACGTTAGTCTAGAGTTCACAAACAAGAGGCCCATGGTAGAGATACAGACATAGGAGTAACCAGTACACACATGGTAGGCAACAACACTTAAGTGGATAACAGACTAGGAGAAATTACAGAGAAGATATGAGAACCTTGATTTTTAACTGCAAAGCAGATGAAGAATCATTAGATAGATCTAGCTA